ATATATATATATATATATATATATGAGAGAGAGAGAGAGAGAGAGATGATAGATAGATAGATAGATAGATAGATAGATAGATAGATAGATAGATAGATAGATAGATAGGTAATAGATAAGTCTAAGTGCTGTTGCTATATATGTAGGCTTGAGGGAAGGAGCTTGGTAGTTTTTCATTGTAAGTTTTGTGAGAGATGCAAAGAATGTTAAGTAATTGGTGGATCCTCCTTTCCAATTATCCATGTCCTCCTTTTCCTGTTCAGATACCTGGTAGCCCTAGGCCTGGGGCACACATGTTCTCTTCTTTCCATCTATAATCTTGATCTCATCTTAGCCCAAAGTCCCAGAACATCTGGAGGGCTGGGGAAAGTTGATCTAATCCAACATTTTTCTCTTTCTTTCCATTCCAGCTAATGAACTGAATAAGCTGAGAGAGGAAAACAAGAGCCTGAAGGAAGATTTGAAGAGGTTATGTGGCCCAGAGTGAGTGTTCCCAACTTTATCTCTTGGTGTTTGGAATATTGAAGAGGTTATGTGGCCCAGAGTAAGTGTTCCTAACTTTATCTCTTGGTGTTTGGAATACTTCAAAGTGAAACCAATATGGCTGCCTTCTTCATAGCAAAAGTGGGCTATCCCAGAATGTCTTCCTCCTGAAAAGGTCTTGGGAAAGGTCTGAGAAACCTTGAGGTCTACTTGGCCAATTAACTATGGAGATTCTCAGTCATCCAGGTCATGGTTGTCCCACAGGTGCTTTTTTCAAGAGGCAACTGGACTTTCTGGTTTTTCTTTGAAGGCGTTTCGCTTCTCATCCGAGAAGCTTCTTCAGCTCTGACTGGATTGGGGGGAATGGAAGGATTTATACTCCTTGCAGGCAGTTGGTCATTTGCTTTCTTTTAAAGAGTCATTGAAGCCACCTAGAGGTTTATCTGTGTCATCAGAGTCACCTGAGTAGTACAAATTGGTGTGCACTTTCAGCTCTGAACACAGGGAGTTCAAAGTGAGATGGATTTGAAGGATCTCAAGAGATTCTGGTAGGCTTTGTGTTCCATTACTGGAGAAGAAAATGTCTCAGTTAAATTTAGAAAGAGTTTGAGTCCTAACAGGAGTAGCAAAACCTGTGGTTGGACCCATATTTTTTTTTTTTTTGGCTTGCAAGTGAGAACTTGCATAAAGTTTCCAAAACAGAGAAATCAACGTTTTGACACAAAGACATTTAGCAGATGAAAAAGGCTTCTACATCTTGGTATACATACTCCTCAAATTATAACCATTTGGTTAGTGACCACTCGAAGGTACAACGGCACTGAAAAAAGGGACTTTGACCATTTTTTACACTTATGACCATTGCAGCATCCCCATGGTCACATGATCAAAATTCAGATGCTTGGCAACTAGCGTGCATTTATTACAATTGCAGTGTGCCATAGTTTGACCAGCACAGTCAATGGGGAAGCCAGATTCACTTAACAACCAAGTTACTAACTTAACAGGTGCAGTGATTCACTTAACAACTGGTCAAGAAAAGTGATGAAATGGGACAAAATTCACTTAATAACTATCTTGCTTAGCCACTGGAGTTTTGCGCTCAATTGTGGATGTAAGTCAGCAACTAGCTGTATACAATTCTCTACTGAGAGATTGTCTAACATGGGTGTTCAAGCGAGCATTTAGCACTAGTGTTTGACTTTTCTTTAGCTATCTTGAAAAATGTGTTAAGTACAGGTAGTGTTCAACTTACAACCGTTTGATTAACAACTGTTCGAAGTTACGACAGCCCTGAAAAAGTGACCTGACTTGAAAATATCAAGTCAAATGACTTGAAAAAAAAAATGAGGGTTCTCACACCTCCGCCCATCACAGCATTCCCACAATCACACGAGCAAAATTCAGGTGTTTGATAGCTTATCTCTATTAATGAAGGAGAATATTAGTATCTCATAGAGTTGCTCTCTGAGCTTGCTTGTTTTCTTGCAGATGTTTCATTACCCAAACTACGTAACCTCATCAGTGCTAGATGATAGATAGATAGATAGATAGATAGATAGATAGATAGATAGATAGATAGACAGACAGATAAATAGATAGATAGATAGATAGATAGATAGATAGATAGATAGATAGATAAGAGACAGACAGACAGATAAGAGACAGACAGACAGATAGATAGACAGCCAGGCAGATATAGATGATAGATATAGATGGATGGATGGATGGATGGATGGATAGATAGATAGATAGATAGATAGATAGATAGATGATAGATAGATAGATAGATAGATAGATAGATAGATAGAGATGATAGACATAGATAGATATATAGATAATAGACAGACAGATATATAGATAATAGACAGACAGATAGATAGATAGATGATAGATAGATAGACAGATAGATAGACAGACAGACAGACAGACAGACAGGAGAGGTCCTTGGTGCTCTCTGAACTTGCTTGTTTTCTTGAAGATGTTTCAATACCCAACTAGGTAACATCTTCAGTGCCACAGCCGTGCTATACACAGTTTGGGTAATGAAACATCTGCAGGAAAACGAGCAAGCTTAGAAAGCATCAAGGACCTTTCAACCATTCTCTATTCTAGAATTGCCATTTTGGTCCTTGTCCTTGAAAGTTGCTGAAATTTTTCAGTTATGGGTAAAGTTGTTTTTAGTTCTGGAAAAGAAAGAGCAGTTAGCAATGAAACCGTGATATATAAAACTCTCCAAGATTTCCTGGGTCTTTTCCAAAGCTGACTTCAGCATTCATTTATTTAACGTGGTTGTCATCCCAAGACATTGGTGATAATTTATGGCTGGGAAACTCAATTGTTCATCATCTGGTTTAGCCTGGTCACCACAATACAAAAAAAGATGCTGTGATCTTAGGAAGCCTGCAGAGAAGAGCAGAGAAGAGCAGAGAAGACAAGAGGCTAAACTGTACAATGAAAGGTTGCAGGAACTCGGTATGTCTTCTACTCTAACTAAGAGAAGGACAAAGGGTGGCAGGATAGCAGTCTTCCAGTTTTGAGAGGCTGTCTCAGAGAACAGAGGGTTGTCCTGATCTCCAAAGCACCTCAGAGCAGGACATGAAGCAACGGGTGGAAGATTATTAAAAAAGAGAAGTCCAACCTAGAAGAAATTTCCTGAAAGTGAGAACAATTAATTAGTGAAACAACAAAAGTTGTGGCTACTCCATCACTGAAGGTTTTCAAGAAGAGACAGGACGGCCATTTGTCTACAATGGTATAAGGCAAACTTATGGCATGCATGCTACAGGTGGCATGTGGAGCCATTTGTGTGGGCCCCAGCCAAACTTACCTGCACTGCACATGCACGTGCCTCCCAGCTCATTTTTGGCCCATTTGAGGCCTTTTTTCAGCCTGCCTGAGAAGCGAGGGAAGCTTCTGCAGCCTCGGGAGGCTGAAAAACGGGCCTTCCAGAAATACCGGAAGTGCCCATTTTCAGCCTCTGGAGGGCCTCTGGAGCCTGTGGGAGGCCGTTTTCACCCTCCTGGGGGCTTGAGGGAAGCCTCTGGAGTCTTTGGAGGCCGAAAAACAGGCCTGTTTTGTCGCTTCTGGTATTTCCAGTATTACCTGCAGTGCAGGTAAGGGGGCATGAGGGGGTGTTGTGTGTGCATGTGCAGAAGGGGGCAGGGTGTATTGCCGTCTGGGTACTGACATGCGAGCACTTGCAAGCGCAATTTTTTGGCATGGGAGCCCAAAAGGTTCGCCACCAGTGGTATAAGGTCTCCTTCTTGAGCAGGAGGGTGAACTAGAAGACCTTCAAGGTTCCCTCCAACCCTATGACAGATAGTCCTCGACCTACAAAAGTTCCTTTAGTGACCGTTCAAAGTTACCACAGCACTGAAAGTTGTGACTTAGCACTCTTTTTCATGATTATGACCTATTCAGCCTCCTCCTTTTGACCATGAGATCAAAATTCAGACGTTTGGCCACTGGCTCCCATTTACTCATATTTAAAGATAAATCATATTTATATTTATGATGGTTGCAGTGTCCCTGGGATGTCATGGGATCCCCTTTTGCAACCTTCTGACAAGCAAAGTCAATGGGGAAGGCAGATTCACTCAACAACCGGGTTACTAACTTATCAACTGCAGTGATTCGCTTAACAACTGGGGCAAGAAATGTCGTAAAATGGAGCAAAGCTCCCTTAACAAATGTCTCCCTCCCTTAAACAACAGATGTGTTGTTGGGCTCACCCGAGGATTATCTATGTTCTAGGTTCTAGAAAGTGACTTCAACTGTCAGCAGGTGGCACTATTGCTGTATTGGAAATGTAGCACCAGAAAATCTGAAATGCAAACCTGGAAGTGACAATAATGTCTGTGATTACCAAGGTTGTTTTGTACTCAACTTGATCCCAGGCCGCTCTGCTCTTGGTGAGGCTAGTGAGAAAACAGCTGACCTTTCAAAGGCTTTTCGAGAATAAAACCAATGTAAGATCCTCCTTCATTGGAAGGTGCACTTGAACCCTTTGGAATGAATGAAGAACAGCACAAATTGGGTCACTCAAGCAGGGCCCTTGAGTAGACTCTAGGCTGCCTGTGAATTCACTGCCCGCAAGAGAAATAAATATGGCATGAATAAGCAAGGATAAAAGCAAAGTCCTATTTTACTGCATATTTTACTGCATGCAGTCTATCAATCAGAATAGAGCTGGAAGGGACCTTGGAGGTCTTCTAGTCCAGCCCCCTGCTCAAGCAGGAAATCCTATAGGCCTACACCATTCCAGAGACACCTCTGTCCAGTCTCTTCTTAAAGCCCTCCAGCGGTGAAGCACCCGCGACTTCTGAAGGCAAGGTGTTCCACTGGTGAATGGTCCTCAGTGTTAGGAAGCATCTTACTAGCTCCAGGTTGCTTCTCTCCTTAATTAGTCCCCATCCATTGTTTCTTGTCCTGCCTTCGGGTGCTTTGGAAAATAAAGTGACGCTCTCTTTGTTCCCAAATCACGCAGTGCCAAAGATGCCTGGGTTCTGTTTTTTTTTCTTTTTCTTTTCTTCCCAGGACTATTATAAAAGCCCATGCGAGACCTACAGACCGATGCATTTACACCCTCTCATGTTTCATCTTTGTTTTCGTATGTTTTCTTTCTGCGCAACAGGGACAGGCCAAAAACTTTCAAAGGGCAGCCCAGAGAAGAAAACTTCGTCCCAGGCGTCTCTTTGTCTATCCTCTCCAGCCGAAGCAGGAAACCGAGCGTTGGGAAAAACACGAGCCCAGAAACTGAAGACGAGTGTCCCGAGCCGCTGGAAGGAGGCACGTTTCTTCTGCAAGTGGGCCCAGTTTGCTCTTCAGTCAGTTCTAGATCGGGAGCCTAGCAGAACCTCCAGCAGCAGAGAGACGCTACCTTAAGATATCTAGCTCCCTGCTTTGCACGTCAGAGAGACCAGATTTAAGCCACTTCGTCCTAAAATTCTGGGGAAAATCTTGTCTAAAACCATACCCTGTTGCTCTCAACCGGAGTGAGAGATAGACGTAGTCCTCTACGTACAACCATTCATTTAGTGACCGTTTGAAGTTACAAAGGGCACTGGAAAAAATGACTTTCATGCTTACAACCATCGCAGCATTCCCACGGCCTTGTGATGAAAATGTATTTATTTTGTTCAAAAGTATCATTTATCTTTATTTTATTGTTTTACTAATTAAATGTATATGCCACCCGCCTGGCAGTCACGTGACTCTAGGTAGCTTACAACATGCCGAATTTGGGCGTTTGGCAACTGGCATGTATTTACAACGGCTGCAGCGTCCCAGGGTCACGCAATCGCCACGTGTGACCTGGCTTCCGACAGACAAAGTCAAGGGGTGAAGCCAGACTTGCTTAACAACAACACGATTCATTTAACAACCATGGCGGAAAAAAAAACCCAATAAAAACCAGCCATGTCTCACTCAAGAACTCTCCTGGAAATTCAAAATCCCAATTGTGGTCGTAAGTCGAGGACTACCTATCCTGAGCCAAAAAGGTCCATTGTACCTAGTGCCTTCTCAATGGATTGGGACTAAAACTCCCAGAATTTCCAGCATATTTTAGGAGTTGTTAGCAATGTTGTTAGCAATTTTAGGAACTGGATTCTCAGTGGATCCAGAGAGATCCAGTTTGGGAAGGATGCAGAGGTGGTATTCAGCAGGTTCGGACAGGTTTTGGAGAATCGGTAGTAGAAATTTTGAGTAGTTCGGAGAACCATAGCAGAAATTTTGAGTAGAATACCCCCTCTGACTGGCCCCGCCCCCATCTAGTCTCCACCTCCTGAGTCCCAGCTGATTGGCTGGGTCTTCTTTTGTTGCCCTGCACAGGAGAACGGAGCTGGAAAGCAGGTTAGTGGGATGGGGAGGGAATGGGGATTTTGCAGCAATTTTCCCCTGCCGCACCCACCAAGCCACGCCCACCAAGCCCACCAAGCCATGCCCATAGAACTGGTAGTAAAAAAATTTGAATCCCACCACTGGAAGGATGGTTAGCAGTTTAAAAAGAGAAACATCTCTACTTGTAGCACTAGATCATCTGAAATAAATGTTATTTTCTTCTTACAGATGAGTCTCCTGAACACAGACTTTCTCCAGAAAGCAGGATCTCCCCTAATATCCTTCTCCAGGGAGACCATGCTCTGGATATGGTAACTTATTTCCTATCTAACTTTAGTCTTTTTTGTCTTCTCTTCCTGAATTTGATTCTTGATCTTGGGCTAAAAGCTCTCCTGAAGGTGAGCATAGAAATTATTAGTAGGAAACAGTTTAAGAGCTGTGATGGCGCAGTGGTCAGAATGCAGTACTGCAGGCTAATTCTGCTGACTGCCGTCTGCCAGCAGTTTGGCAGTTCGATCCTGACTGGTTCATGGTTGACTCAGCCTTCCATCTTTCCCAGGTCGGTAAAATGAGAACCCAGATTGTTGGGGGCCATAGGCTGACTCGTTTAGAAGAGCTGTAAAGCATTGTAAAGTGGTATATAAGTCTAAGTGCTTATTGCTATTATTTCTGGACACTTCACAGTTGGCTTGAAACTAGCAAAGTTAGGGTTAAGTTATATAGTATCAGAAACCAGTATTTCCGATGCTGGAAAATTCCATTTCTTATATTATATGCATGGTGGCGCAGTGGTTACAATGCATATTGAAAACTAATTTGCAGGCTGCGATCTGCCAGCAATTCGGCAGTTCAATTATGAACTGTCATGTCTCAGTGGTTAGAATGCAGCATTGCAGGCTAATTCTGCTGACTGCCGATTGGCAGTTCTATCCTGACTGGCTCAAGGTTGACTCAGCCTTCCATCCTTCTGAGATGGGTAAAATGAGGACCCAGATTGTTGGGGGGGCAATAGGCTGACTCTGTACACTGCTTAGAGAAGGCTGTAAAGCACTGTAAAGTGGTATATAAGTCTAAGTGCTATTGCTATATAATCAGAGATGTCCAACTTTGGCAACTTGAAGACTTGTGGACTTCAACTCCCAGAATTTTGGAGTTAAAAGTCCTTGAGTCTTAAAATCATCAAGGATGGACAACCTGAAGGCTGGATAAAGTGAGAGAAGAAATCATGTCACAGCTTCTCTGTAAAAATGTTGACTATCTGCCCAAATTATTAACCCAATGTTTAACAAGCAATTATGTTTAATGTCCATATTTTACACAAGCTGGAGAATTTGGCTTGACATGTCCCGGGATTATTCTTTCTTTCTTTATTTATTTTAAGAAAACCTTTATTAAATATTGAAAAAAAAGAATAAATACAAAATACAATACAACTCATTAAAACAAAAAACACTGTAAATATTACAAATCATTTTGGTGCTGCTTATATACCAAATGTTGTTCCAATACATATTTCACATTCCTGGTGATTTCTCATACATTTAACTTCTTTAAACTATTCTTTGCTTATTTATTTACTTGCTTATTTCTAAAATTTATCCATTTGTACCAGTTTTTCCAGACTGTATAGTACTTTGAGTCTTCCTTTTCTTTTAATTTTAGAGTAATTTGTCCATTTCAGCGCAATTGTAGATTTTGGGGATTATTAAACTCTCTGTTGGCATGTGGTCTCCTTTCCAACATTGTGCGAGTGCTAGGGATTATTTTTTCAACTGCAGCCTTCAAAGTGATCTATTTATAATCTATATTTATGATGAGCTGGTCACCTGGGATCTTTCCAATTTAAAGGCTCTGTTCTAACTTACTTAATTGGAACACTTGGGAGATAACCGTATTGTAGGAACAGCAAAACTGGGTTAATTAACTGGCCTAGTCAACCACTGTAATTCCAGAGGGTTATTTTTAACCCAAAGTGAACCTAGGCATATCCAAGGGTTACACTCACCCCAAAAGGCCAACCAGCTGATCCATTTTACATTCTCAATCTCTTTTTCTTGAAGACCTGGGGGGAAGGGGCTGAAAAATTAACCTTTGCCATTCTAGAACTTATCACCATGGGCTGATACCACAGAACACAGCATTCTGGTTGGCTGCAGTGTCTATGCCCAGTCTGAAAGAGGGAATTTATATCTATCAAGCAATAGATAGATAGATCATCTGACTGTCTATAATTTTTGTGTGATGACCCGAGTCATGGCACAAAGGCAACATCATCAGATAATCAGTAGGAGTCCCGTTATTAGCTCCAACTTCGCCCCCAATGTCCTGGTTACCTTCTGGCTCTCCCAGACTCTCCCAGCCTTTGGCTGCAGAAAATCAAATCCAAAACATGGTCAACAAAAACTGTAACTATAAGTCCAATCAAGGCAAAATAAGGTAATTGGTCCGACAGGGCAGGAGCCAGAATTCCAGACGTGAAGGCATGGCAATAGCTCCACATGGTTGGGAAGATGCCAGGAACACAGATAAGCAAAGTCAACACAAGATAAACTCACGTTTGCTCCCAGCAGCTGCCGCACTCAGCATGCATTTCTTTTAAACTCTCATTCCCAGGTGTGGCTAATGAAGGGAATCAGGGCCCTTTCCCTTCCCGTAAGCCATGCAACCCATGTTCTCTTCTCCGAACTCCCTCTCCCTTGTTCTACCTCTACCCTGATCTGCCCAGCTGGACTTTTCCCTTCCCCAGTTTCCTCCACAGCCAACAGAGCCACACTCCCACTCCCTGTCAGCTGTTCATCTTCCTCCTCGAATTCAGACTCCGACAGGGACATGACACTTTGAATTGTCATCTCCCTGGGGCCCTGGGCAGTGTATAATAAAAAAGTGCCAAAACATAAAAACAGTGATAAAAGTTAAAATTTTAGAAGGAAGTAGGGTTGATTAAACACTGTTAAAATTAGTTAAAAGAGGAAGGGGGGGAGGGTTCTCAAGCAACTAGCCAACCCCACAGCTGCAAGCTCCTCCGGGCTCCCCATGTGAGACCCATGTTTTGACTGGTCTCTTCCTTCCTCTGTTTTTAGAGCTCTCAGAAGAGGGTCAACCAATTGCAGGGAACCGTTGAGCTGAAGAGAACAGGATCCCGAACCTCCTCACAAGAAAGAGATTACCCAGAAAGTGACTCCCCACCCCTTACAAGCAAAACACCACCATCTCCTCACTGTGATCAAAGTCCCAGCTTTGAAGCGTAAGTGGTCATCCCTCCAATAATGCCTACCTTGCAGGTAGTCCTCGACTTATACGATCGCAATTGAGTCTTGTTGCTCAACAAGGCAGAGGTTACGCAAGTTTTGCCCCATATTACGACCTTTTTTGTCGCTGCTGTTCAGTGAATCCCTCTGGGTGTATCATCCAACAAAAGATGTCCATAGCCAAAAGTCATTAATCATGCTCTCCAATTAGATTTTTGTGCGGCAGAAGCTTCAGTCATCTAATCAGTCTTTGAAGAAAATATGAATGGAATGTACTTTTGATTCCACACTGCCAGCTGCTCTTTGAAACACCCTCCCCTTCTTTCTTTTGTCAACTATAAAACGTTTATACAAAATGTTCTATGAGTTGACATTCTGCAGTTGTCAGTAACATGGTTGTTAAGTGAATTTGGCTTCCCTCATTAGCTTTGCTTGTCAGAAGGTTGCAAAAGGGGATCACATGACCCCGGGGCACTGCAACCGTCATAAATACAAGTCAGTTGCCAAGAGTCCGAATTTCGATGACGTGACCAGGGAGATGCTGCAACGGTCATAAGTGTGAAAAACGGTTATAAGTCACTTTTTCCTGTGCCGTTGTAAGTTCAAACAGTCACTAAATGAATGGTTGTAAGTCCAGGACTACCTGTACAGTCTTCAACTTCCTTCTGGATAAGAAGGGCATTTTTCTAGAGTAAAAACTCTATGCCTTTTAGTCCACCTACATTCTATTCATCACCCTCATTCTCATTCCATCTGCATTGCAATTACTATTAATTCTCCCACCCTTCCTTTTACCCATCCCTTCCCACTTGTGACTGTATGACTGTAACTTTGTTGCTGGTATCCTTACGATTTTTATTGACTGTTTCCTAGTATGATTTGATTCCTTATTTGTACCCTATGACTATTATTAAGTATTGTACCTTACGACTCTTGACAAATGTATATTTTCTTTTATGTACACTGAGAGCATTTGCACCAAGACAAATTCCTTGTGTGTCCAACCACACTTGGCCAATAAAGAATTCTTATTCTACTCTACTCTACTCTACTCTACTCTACTCTACTCTACTCTACACTCTACTCAACTCAACTCTACTCTAAACTCTACTCAACTCTACTCTACTCAACTCTACTCTACTCTATTCTATAAATCCAAAAGAGGATTGATCCTGGTTTTCCCCAGACTTGGTCCAGTATTTCCAAGGCTGCTGCATTTCTAAACTCTTGAAAAAAATAGAAATTTGAAAGAATCCATCAAGACTGGGAGTTCCCTTAAGGAAACATCAGCAGTGAGTAGCTCCAGAATAATCTGAATTTTCTCCTTTCTCCATCTTTCTCAAACACATGCACAGGTAGTCCTCAAATTACCACCACAACTGAGCCCAAAATTTATGTTGTCAAGGTGAGAAATTTGTGAAGTGAGTTTTGCCCCATTTTCTCGCTACATTTGTTACGTGAATCACTGCAGTTGTTAAATTGGTAACACGGTTGTAAAGTGAAACTGGTTTCTCCATTGACTTTGCTTGTCAGAAGGCCGCAAAAGGGATCATATGACTCCTGAACCTGGCAACCGTCATAAATATAAGTCGGTTGTCAAGCATCCGAATGTAAATCATGTGACCGTGGGGATGCTGCAATGGTCATAAGTATAAAAAGTGATCATAAGTCACTATTTTCAGTGCCACTGTAACATTGAGCGGTCACTAAATGAACTGTTGTAACTCGAGGTTTACCTGAACGAAGGCCTAGATCCTTTGCTTATGGCAATCTTTACCAAGCTGATCTTTATGTGTGTCAGAAGCACCTACAAATTATAGACATATAACATTCATCATTGAGCCAACAAAGTAGATATAAAACAGGACATCGAAATATAGCATGTGTAAAACAAACCTGATGTTCTCCGGTGTGTTATTCTGTGGCTCAGAATAACAGGCTCAGCCAGCAATTTTTGGCCAAGTTGTTTGGGAATTATGATTGATGTAGGCAAGACATCTTGACATCTCACATCTGTGGCATCCGGAAACTGAAAGTTCCGGGCTTCCTTGCAAAAGTCAAAAATACAAATCCATCCCCCCTTAGCCATTATCACATCACATGATCCAGTCACCATCTGTCCTAAAGTAAGATTCCCATTTCATTATGTACCACACTCAGTGACCTTGAACCAGCAAAAGAATTTTATTTTGTCTAACTAGATATACGCAAATAAATCCCCCCCTCCCACTTTCTCAGGCTGAATTGTGGCAGCATCAAATCTCAATATGGCTTCCAAAGCTGACACTTGTCTTTAATTGCAAGTGTGTCAGGATTCCAACAAATCCACCCCCATTTAAATCAAAAGTCTCTAGCCACATCTCAGAGAAAAGAAAATTGATTTATTAGAAGTGGCCATGTTGGCGTTTAGCTGGGTGCAGACGATACTAAATCACATCATACATTTCCCCCTTGACCCTGGTCTTCCCCCCACCTCCTGGATGTGACTTCTCCAATGGGACACATCCATCTTCAAGAGTCATCCATCATGCTCTCCAATAACTTTCTTATGCTCTGACAACTTTGGGCTGCCGGGATGATTATCTAAGCATTTAAGGAATGCCTCGTTTTCTCCCACTCCCTTTTCCTGGCAGCTAAAAAGACCAAAGGAGTATCTTTTTAGTTGACAAAGTGTTAATCTGTTCATTTCTGCCCATCCTGATATTTTCCTAATCACATTTATTTTTCTAGATTTTTAAGAGCCAACAGATTGGATTGCCGTGCCTCCACCTCGCCTTGCGAGAACCTGAGGTTCACCACCAAAAAGGAACAGCTCTACCTCTTCAACCAAAGTTTAGCCCTGCATCATCTTGGCCTCCGGAATAACTCGACCAACAAAGAGGGTGATTTCCCTCACCACCTGTTGCTGGCTAAGGATGTCGGCGGTCGACTGAAGCCCCACGAGGAGTGGGAAGACCGAGCTACCATCTTGGAACTCCCTGGCGCTGTGTTGTACATGAAGGACCGTCATCTGGAAAACAGGCTCCAGCTTCTTAACAGCTCGGAGAAACTCCGTTGCTTGTTGATGGAGCAGGAAGGGAAAGGAAGAAGCGAGGACGGCTCGGATCAATCTTGGAGTCAGGTCCCTTCGCTATCCCCAAGCGGGAAGAAGGAAAAACACTCTCCAGAAGACTCAGCGGACGATACACTAGAGCAGCTGTTCCAGGTCAATAGAGAAAACCCAGACCAAGGGGAGAAAGCCACATCGGTGCAGGACAATGCCACGGAAGCACCTCTGGATTTATCGGATTATGGAAGGGGAAAAGAAAGTGGCACCAACTGGCACCATCAGTCTTCAGTGAAACATGAAAGGCAAAGTCCAGGCAGAAATGAGAACGAGGACACTGTTGTTCAGAAAACCTGTTTGTCCAGCTGGCTTGGGACCACCCAGAAGCACCATTACGGGAACCAACAACTGGAATCATTCACGGCCAGAACCAGGGAAAATATAGCAGTTTCTCCGGTAAGAAATATATTTTTCATCTAGGTGTCTTTTCTTTGGCTATTTCTGCCCCAACAATTTCCTCTGTTATATTCTGCTACTTCATACATATTGGTAGTCCTTGACTTACAATCATTCATTTAGCGACCATTTGAAATTACAACGGCACTGAAAAAATAGATTTATGACAGTTTTCACACATATGACCATTACAGTATCTCCATGGTCATCATCATCTTCTTTTAATGACCCCATAAGCCCTGGCAGGGTGGAGTCCAGGCAATGGGAGCTGTATGTTTACTGGCTAGATGCCTGTTGCCAATGTGGAGTTTGATTCAGCAATATATTCTCATAGTGCCCAGAGAGAGAAATATCTGACTTTTCCAAGGATCGAACTCACAGCCTCCTGAGTGTGAGGCAAGAGCTCCATCTCTAGGCCACCGCACCACTCTCAGTACCTCCATGGTCAAAATTCAGGTGCTTGGCAACTGACTTGTATTTATGACAATTGCACTGTCCTGGGGTCATGTAATCTCCTTTTGTGATAAGCAGTGCCAATGGGGATAGCCAGACTCATTTAAGAACTACATGATTCGCTTAACTACTACAGCGATTCGCTTAACAACTGCGGCAAAAGGCCATAAAATGGGGCACAACTCACTTAGCGATAGAAATTGTAGGCTTAATTGTGGTCATAAGTTCAAGGACTACCTGTAATTTGAGGCCACGTATAATTGCTTACAATTACACTTGCCGATTATTAGCATTGGCCTAACTAACATTTAGTTAGGCCATTAGGTTACACTAAATTCTTGATAGTGCCTGAGAATTGACTTCAGTTAATACTGAATTAACTCTGTTTGGAGATTCATTGTTGAGATATAGCTTAACTAAAGATCTGAGTTTACCTTGCAAATGAAATCACAACAAAGGAAATAAGGGAGGGTAAACACTCAATTTAATAAAGCATTCTAGCCAAGAATTATCCATTATTTTTTATGTGTTATTTTTATTTGTTAAATTTATTTGCTGCCTTGGGAGCAACTCTAGGAGGCTTACTATAATAAAAAAGAAGAAAAATAGAAAGAGTTTAAAGAGAACAGAAGTAAAATAATTGAAATCAACAACGGCAAAGTATTTCCATCGAACTACCCATCAAAACTAAATGTTGCTTAACGCTTTTCCTTTTCGTTTTGTCTTTCCCTTCCTGGATGCAGATTTTCCTTCATTCTTCAATTAACCTTCTCCAAGGCCATCTCTGCAATTCTGTATATATCCCCATGTAAGGGAGAGGTCTAAATTTTGGGAATGCAACCCAGATGAACATTTTGTTCATTTTATTTGAAGTCTGGCTAAGCCAAGGTCTATTAAATTGAGGGCTCACTGTAGCAACTACTCAAAGTTGCGGTGGTGGTTTGCTACCGGTTTGGACCGGTTCACCTGAACCGGTAGTAAAGAAAAGCCTCCCAGGATCAGCTGAAAGGAGAAAGAAGAGAAAAGGGCAGGATTGACCGTCCCACCCACCCGTCCTCTTTTCTGTTCTTTATCCTCTCAGTTGATTGGTGCTGCAGGCCTCAGCTGGTGTGAAGAAAGCTGCACATCTTAGGTGCGTGCGTGTTAGGTGCGTGCATGAGCATGCTCCCGCTGCTGAAAAGTTGGCCTGTGGTACAAAGGCCGATGGGAAATCTTTCACTCACCTGAACATGATCATTAAAGAGAGAAGCAACCTAGAACTCAGGAGAAATTTCTTGTCAATGAGAACAATTAATCAAAGGAATGACTTATTTCCAGAAGTTGTGGATGTTCCACAGTGGAGGTTTTCAAGAAGAGACTGGCCAGCCATTTGTCCAAAATGGCATAGGGTCTCCTGCTTGGGCAGGGGGTTGGACTAGAACAGGGGTCACCAACCTTTTAGACCTCAGGACCACCAAACCCATAATTTTAAATCCCATGGACCACTAATATGAATTTTGACTGACAATGGTTTTCTGACGTTGGTGGGAAAGTCGGTACCATATTCCAGGGCTGCAGTGATCACAAGACTGGCCCTTGGGTCATCCCACAGCAGCTGCTCCTCCACCAGGGTGCACCGGCCTGCAATGGACTGGAGGAGCTGCTCTGGGATGACCAAAGGGCCAGTCTTGTGACGACTGCAGCTCTGGAATATGGGACCGGCCCATGGCGGGGTTGGAAATCTCCACCGTAGGGAGTGGCACGTGTAATGTGCAAATTTGTGGGTGGTGCAATGTGCAAAAAGCAGTGCAGCCCTTGCTGGTCAGGACGAGGTAACAGTGCTGTTGCAGCAAGAGGGGGCAGTGGCGCAGGCGGGCTGAAGCGGTGATGGAGATGGCTGGAAGGTGCAGGAGCGCCGCGCTACTTGCATTTGCACAGCTTTGGCATTCCACCTTCACTCAAGGTGCCCGGCCGAAGTTTCCCACACTGCTTGTGTAAGACTGACTTTCCAACCAACGTCAGCAAGCCACCCTGGGGCAGATTTCCCCACCACCACCATTGGTCTTACCTTCCAGTTCCAGGTCATGTGGCTCTACTCAAGGTAAGGTTTGTGCTCAGCTGAAGGGGGAGGCAGCGGGTGACTGGGCCATGTGCGTTGCAACGTTGTATTCCCACGGGCCGTGTGGGTGGTGCTGCCTTGTGTTCCCATGCAGCCTGGATTGCTTGGGGGGGGGGCATTTCTCTGCGACCCACCAAAAGTTTTTAGCAGACGAGAAATAAAAATAAAATAAAATGGCAATTAGAAAAAGAATGAGGGAATATGTAAATATGTAAATATACCATGGAGAAGATTGAGGTGTAAGGATAAAAGATATTGATTTATAGTAAGATTAAGATGTAATGGTAAAGGAATAAGTAAATACATATACTGAAAAATGTGAGGAAATGAAAAAGATGTCTTGATGTTGATAACAAAGCATGAAGTTTTGTTTTACGTTTTTTAAAATTTGGAAAATTAATAAAAAATTTATTTCTAGCAGACCACCAGTGGCGACCACTGGAGTAGAAGACCTCAAAGTTCCCTTCCAATCCTATTATTCCATATTCTGTCTTCTAACATAGTCATTGTGGATGTTACAGGACTTTGCAAGGCTGTAATTTTCTTTCTTTTAAACTCTGTCACCTCTGCAGGTATCTTTGCCACGAGAACCTCCTATGTCTAAGACATCTTCCCACGATTCCACTGCTGACACAGAAGTCAATATGTCTTTTCAAGTGGAGAATCAAGACCCTGAGAGGCCAGGTAAGAGAACCATATTTTGCACTTTTCTGAAAGAGACTTGACAGCCATTTGACTGGAACAGTATAGGTCTCCTGCTTGAGCAAGGGTTTGACTAGAAGACCTCCAAGGTCCCTTCCAACTCTGTTATTCGTGTGTGTGTGTGTGCGTGTGCGTGTGTGTGTGTGTTGTATATATGTATGTGTGGAGAGAGAGAGAGAGAGAGCACAAGTCACTTAACATCTGCCTTGTCTAGCAACAGTAATGCTAGTCTCCACTGTGGTCATAAGTCAAGGGTTACTATCCAGATACATTAGATATCAATTATCCAAGTTTGAAACAGTATGATCAACAGCTGGTTCTAGAAGAGAAACTTCAATGCGTGTTGAGGTTCTAGAAGGGTAGGATATGTTACCAAGTCTTGAGCAAAGAGGCATTTCTCATGATGGACAAATATGAAATACTTGTCTTCCTTCAAGATTTGCATATGATCATGCAAATCATATGTAGCTTCCAAAGACCCCTGGTCCTACTCCCAGGAAATGATTAAAGTTGCTCAACCAGTAATTTCATTTCTCTTAAAATGGAAAGCTTACATCCAGGATTACATGTAGCGTCAATCTTGTTGAGCAAACAACACTTCGGAGTTTAAGTAAACTTGGAGTCTATTAGACAGTTGGCCTTTTGTGCTCTTCTGAAATCTGAGGAACTTTGAGTCTTTCATCAAGAACAACTAGAAATGTTTGGCACTTGTTCAAATGTATAAAGTCCTGAATGATCCCCACCCTATCAAATCTTGAGTCCAGGATCAACATTTTGATTTGAAATAGCTCTCCAGAGCATTGCCTTCCTCAGTACCAAAATCAACCAATGGAAAAGTTTACCTTCAGAAGTTGTGGGTACTCCATCCTGGTGACTTTTAAAAAGAGACTGGTCAACCATCTGTCTGAAATGGTATAGAGTCATGATGGTGAACCTATGGCACGCATGCCACAGATGGCACGCAGAGCCATTTGTGCCGGCACACGAGCTGCAGGCAAACTTACCTCACTGCACATGCGTGTGCCTCCCAGCTGATTTTCGGCCTGTTTGAGGCCTTTTTCGGCCTCCCAAGCTTGAGGAAAGCCTCTAAAGCCTGAAAAATAGGCCCATTTTATCACTTCCTGTGTTTCCGGAAATACCAGAAGTGATGAAATGGGCCTATTTTTCAGACTGCAGAGGCTTTCCTCAAGCCTGGGAGGCCAAAAAAGGCCTCAAACCAGCTGAAAATCAGCTGAGAGGCACAGTGCAGGTAAGGGGACAGAGAATTGTGCGCACATGCACAGGGGGTGTGGGGGATGCAAGCATTGCCTTCTGGGTGCTGGCACGTGAGTGCTCGTGCACAAAGCGTGCACACAATTTTTGGCACAGGAGCCAAAAAGGTTTGCCACCACTGGTATAGGGTCTCCTGTTCGAGCAAGGGGTTGGACTAGAAGACTTCTAAGCGGGGGGGGGGGATTCTACCAATTCACACCTATTCACTACAACAGGTTGTTAACATTCTAAGCAGTTCGGAGAACCCGTTGTTAGAATAAATTACTGGCCTAATCCTGTAAGGAAGGCAGGAAGGAAACATTCTGGTGTTGCTTACAGAAACTGCCTCTCCATTAACCCTTATTACTTTCTTGGCAGGACTAGACTTCCTGTCTCAGGAACTTCTCTGGAGTTTTTTCCCCTCCTTTTCTGGTACTTTGCTTGTGTGGAGTGACCATTCAAAGTTACAGTGGCACTGAAAAAAGTGACCAATGACGGTTTTTCACACTTATGACTGTTGCAACATCCCCAAAGTTATGAGAGGCCAGGCAAGGAGATGCTTGCCTCGATGTGAGTGATATTGAGTTGGCCACACCCAGCCAGCCACATGACTACCAAGCCATGCCCACCACCTAAGCCATGCCTACACAACCGGTTGTTAAAAATTTTGAATCCCACCCTTGCCTCTGAGGTTCCTTCCCACTCTATTATTCTATGCAGGGGTGGGATTCTACCGGTTCAGACTGGTTCAGGCGAACTCCCTGCTCCAATGATCAGCTGGCTCTGAACCAGTTCCCTTTGGTGAGCATGTGGGCCTGCCCACCTGCCTGCCTGCCCCTGATCTTTCCTGTGCTTTTTGCCTTTGTGTTAGAGCACAGCTGATTCACGTGGCGAGTGGTTTGCCGCGCCTCAGCTGTTTTCTTCAGCTGCAGTTGAAGGGAAGTATTACCTTGGTGAACGCGGAGCAGACTCGCAGAGTGCATGTTTGGTGCACACAGCAAAGCACACATGCGCTCGCAAAGCGCACACTCAACAAACCGGTTATTATACCAATTAAATCACACCCCTGCTTCTATGTTCTAAAACTGGAACATAGGACCTTCTCCAAATAAAGCAGAAGACACAACTGAACCGTGGACTCACAAACACTTGTGCAATACTGTATAAATTATCCCAGATCCTGGTGATCAGAAAGCCTCATGCTTCTCTGTTTTCTGAGCCTTTAAGAAGGAAGAACTCTAAAACTAATATGGTAAATTGTAATCAACATGAAATTAATGCTTGAAAATAAGATTATTTTCAATGATATATAATAAATCTGTAAAATAATATTATAAGGTAGTAAAAGAAATGACATGTGGAACCTGATAGATTAGAACAAAAAAAGATAGGATAGTGAGATATAGTAATAGATAAAAGTAATTATAGCGTTACTAGAATTGGACAATAGGTTAAATGTTTGAATACGGTTTGCTTTAGTATAAATGGGATTAGGAAGAGATTTTGCTTAAAGTGCAATGGTGGCAAAATTAAGAATTAAAAGGGGATAAATAATTAAAATATAAATTAAACATGGAGTAATGAATGACTATGTGAATTATACAAATTGTTAAATATTGCAGATATGATGAGTAATACAGAATTTATAACAAAAGAAGGGGTGTTAAGAATGTAGAGATTGACACAAAACAATGTATGGGAATACTGAAGGATTAAAATTAAGATTTTTAAAACATATTAATATAAAATTTGCATAAGAAAGTCAACAATATTAATGTAAAATTATTGTCATATTTGTTTTTAAAATGTAAAACACTTTGGGACCACACTATTCACACAATGAGTTGTTTGTAACAATTAAAAATAATAAAAAATGTATTTTTTAAAAAAGAAGGGAGAACTCTTTCCCGTCTTACATACTTTTCTCTACTCAAAAAGAGTGGGAAAAAATGTGTTTCTAGACCTTATGATAGAGGTTGACCTCCTGTATGTCTTCGTTTCTTTTAGATAACGGCAATTCTGACTCAATAAGGAATGACTCTGATGGGACTGTCGCATCTGAGAGTGAGGTCCGTTTCTATGTTTTGAAGGGGTCGAAATAATCCAATCTTTTAATGATGGGGGTATGAAATCGCTGAACAAGATTGGGAAATTGGGCCTCCTGGATTTTGCTGACCTACAATTCCAAACAACCTTTCCTATTGGCATTGGGAGTGGCTGAGAAGAGGACAGGTAGTCCTCAACTTACAATCATTCACTTAGTGACCACTTGAAGTTACAACAGCACTCCCAAAGGGGTTTTTTCCAGGGGCAACTGAACTTTCGTTTCTCATTCTAGAAGCTTCTTTAGCTTCTTGTATGAGCTGAAGAAGCTTCTTGGATGAGAAGCGAAACGTCTTCAAAGAAAAGCAAAGTCCAGTTGCCTCTGGAAAAAACACCTTTGGGACAGCCATGACCTGGATGACTGAGAATCTCCATAGACATTTATAATAGCACTATAAAAAGTAATTTATGATTGTGTTTTACATTCATAACTAAATTTGCAGATGATACAACAGTGGTGGGACTCATCTCCAGGGGGGATGAGTCTGCCTACCAAGATGAGGTGGACCGGTTGCTTTTGTAGTGTGGAGACAATAACTTGGTCCTTAACACCAATAAGACCAAGGAGCTTATAGTGGACTATAGAAGGAACAGATCAGAAATCCAGCCCTTACTTACCAATGGAGACTGAGTGGAGCAAGTGGCCAGTTTTAAGTTTCTGGATGTTACCATAAAAAAGGACCTGACCTGGGATGCTCACATTGCAGCCCTGGTCAAAAGGGCCCAGCAGAGATTATACTACCTGAGGCTTTTCAGAAAACAACAATTGAATGAAAAATTGCTGGTGACCTTCTACCGCTGCACTATAGAGAGTATCTTAACTTACTGCACCTCTGTATGGTTTGCCAATTGCACAGTGGCAGATAGGAAAACACTCCAGAGGGTTAACGTCATTGCCCAGAGGATCATTGGTTGCCCTCTCCCCTCTTTGGAAGAGCTTTAGAGCTCCCGCTGCCTTAAGAAAGTTCAAAACATTCTCAAAGATCCATCTCATCCTGGGCACCCTTTTTTTGAACTATTACTATCTGGCAGACAGTACAGAGTAATAATAATAATAATAATAATAAAAATAAGGACAAATAGGCTGAAAAACAGCTTCTATCCCAGGGCAGTAGCGCTTTTGAATTCTGCTGTATAGTGTAGTGTTGGTGCGGTGCTGCGGGTTTTCAGTTCAATGTGTGGAGGGTGAAGGATGTGTGTTTGTGTTTATTTTCATGGTCATGATGTGCACTGAAGATGGTGTTTGATTTCGTTGTACAAGGTGCAGTGACAATAAACTAAACTAAACAGCATCCCCATGGTCATGTCATCAAAATTCAATTCATGCTTGGCAACTGGCATGTACGCATGACAGTTGCATTGCCCCAGAGTCCTGTGAATCCCCTTTTGCAAACTTCTGACAAGCAAAGTCAATGGGGAAGCCAGATTTCACTTAACAACCGTGTTGCTAACTCTACATCTCCACTGATTCGCTTAATAATTGTGGCAAGAAAAGTCATAAACCGGGGCAAAAGTCATTTAACAACAGTGTTATTTAGCAATGGACATTTTGGTCTTAAGTCAAGGACTACCTGTACTGTAGTTCAGGATCTTCTAGAGATCTTCAGCCCCCTCACTAGGGGTCTGAGAATTTTGTAGTTGCTCATTAGGTTTGTTATTTAATAAACCTAATCTTTAAATTTGGCAATTTTTCTGGGCTTCAACTCATGCAGGCTGGGGACCTCTGGAAATTGAAGTCCAAAAGTCTTTTCTAAGTGACACCTGATTTAAACCACAATAAGAACAGCTTGTCTTATGGTTGCATCTAAAAAGCTTATCTACTTATGGGTAGATACTGACTGGTTTAGAGTGTGAAAAACTGAGCCGTATTTTCAGTGTAAATGGAAAAGAGGACAGATCCCCTAAATTACATGACGTTTTTCTTCATGCATCTTAAACCTGTCTGGATCAATTTCTCTGATTTATAAAGATGGTTGATCCTCATGAAGACAAAGCCCTCGCAGGAGGTTCGGTAAAAGAAGACTACTGCGACGTAACTGAAAAAACTCAGAATTTGCAGAAGAAACGGAAGAGGGGACATGATACATCAATAAAAGGTTTGAAATTCTTCCTTTCCAACGATTTCAGATTTTGCATCTCAAAATGTCATACATTGCCCTGGTTTGCACATAAGAGAACCCAAAATTATACTCAGTGATTAAGGTGCTGGCTCAGTTGATCGGCTGGGTCTTCTTTTGTTGCCCTGCACAGGAGAATGGAGCTGCAAAGCAGGTTAGTGGGATGGGGAGGGAATGGGGTTTTTGCAGTATCCTTCCCCTGCCACGCCCACCAAGCCACGTCCACAGAAACAGTAGTAAAAAAATTTGAATCCCACCACTGGGTCAGATGCTTTGCTCATTTTCTTCTCTGCTGCCTGTTTTATTTTCGCAACCCGAGCTTCATCAGGGCTGAACAAGAAAAAACAACTATCAATATTTTCCATCCAGATTCATCAGAGCTTGTCGGAAAGCACGGTGGCAGCTTGTCAAACATGCCCTGTTTTTAAACCCTGGCGACCACCATATCTCTCTATTAGTTGGTCAGCTCTGCTCTCTTCTATTTTTTCGACTGGGCCAACAGAGCAAAGGGAGGCATTGGAGATGCGAAATGTTTAAATTGTTAGCAGTCCGGAGATGTTTTGTGCCCAGCCTTATCAATGTCCTGCTCAGTCACACCTGTAGGAAATACCTGTACAACATTGTCCATTGTTAGCAGCTTACCACTTTCTGTAGGCCCTCGTTTGAAAAACAAACACCATTTGTGTGGAAATGCGCTTTTTTTTTTTTTTTTGCAAAGTCAATAATTCTTTCAGGAAACCTGGGCGTGTTTTGTCAATCAAGGTACCTTTAAAAAGGCTAAACAAACAAGCTGGACTGTTTACCTACCACACTTACTCAAGCTGAAATTTTTTCCTCTCTCTTTCTCTCCAAGCTGGGGGTTGGATCCCCATTTAAAGAAAAGCCCACCCACCCTGCTAAAACATTGGAGTCTCTGCTCCCTGTCTTATCGCAGCACAATTGTATAACTTGGTTAAATATTTATGCAGCATGGAATCCAGGATGGAAGGAACAACAGACCACAAGGGTGGTCATAGGGTACAAATAAGCAATCAAATCATACTAGGAAACAGTCAATAGAAATCGTAAGGATACAAGTGACAAAGTTACCGTCATAGTGGGAGGGGATGGGCGAAAGGAAGGATGGGAGGATTAATAGTAATAGTGATAGTAATGCAGACTTAGTAAATAGTTTGACAGTGTTGAGGGAATTATTTGTTTAGCAGAGTGATGGCATTCAGGGAAAAACTGTCCTTGTGTCTAGAATAGAATAGAATAGAATAGAATAGAATAGAATAGAATACTTTTTGGCCAAGTGTGGTTGGACACGCAAGGAATTTATCTTGGTGCAAATGCTCTTAGTATACATAAAAGAAAAGATATATTCATCAAGAATCATAAGGTACAACACTCAGTGACAGTCATAGGGCAATAAGCAATCAAATCATACTAGAAAACAGTCAATATAAATCGTAAGGATACAAGCGACAAAGTTACAGTCATACAGTCACAAGTGGGAGGGGATGGGTGATAAGGAGAGATGAGAAGATTAACAGTAATAGTAGTGCAGGCTTTGTAAATAGTTGGACAGTGTTGAGGGAATTGTTTGTTTAGCAGAGTGATGGCTTTCAGGAAAAAAACTGTCCTTGTGTCTAATTGTTCTGGTGTGCAGTTCTCTATAGCGTCGTTTTGAGGGAAGGAGTTGAAACAGCTTATGTCTGGGATGTGAGGGGTCTGTAAATATTTTCACAGCCCTCTTTTTGACTCGTGTAGTATACAGGTCCTCAATGACCTTATATAAGTCTAAGTGCTATTGCTATGACTATTGTATATTAGTGATTTTCAGAGAGAAAATTAGAGTCCCAGAATGCACTCTGCGTAATCCTCCATCCCTTTTATTTCTTCTTCAACAGCCCACAAGAAACCAGTTCAAGGAGGAGAAAGTGATGCAGCCACCCACCTCCTGCCTGGCCCAAAAGACACGAAGGAAACAGCAAACCACAGTCCTGCTTTCAGACCTGAGGAGCACAAGGAGACATAGCTGAAAACCATTCTCACTTGGACCTGCTCGGTAGCCTAAGCCACAGTTAAACTTTCCTGGTGTTTATCAGGAATCCTACAACAGACAAATAATAATAATTCTTGGTATTTTAGTTGCTCAGGTTAAACAGACTTCCAGGTTGCACAAACTTACATACGTAATTTGTCGGGTATTGTAACTGCAATTGTGAGACATGAGACATCCCAGATAGAACAAGCATGTAGAAGAATTTAAAAATCACTTCGCTGATTATACTGGTGATAAGGGTACTGTCAGGGTTCCGACGGATGCCCTAATCAATTCATGAGCCTTGAGCCAAGTTTCAAAGAAATCCAATTATTTATTAGGAGCAACACATCGCCACTTTTCCCAAGTGCAGTCGGCTCTGCCCTATGTAATTTATGGCCCACCAATGACCCTGTTTCCCTCCTCCTCCTCCCAGGGTGTGTTACAAATCACATTCTCCAACAGAGCACTTTCCCGGGCTAGAGAAAACGCACCTCTCCGACTGGCTCTGGTAACCTGGGATACAATCTGGAGCAAGGGATGCGTGGGATGTGCTTCTGGCCATAGCAACCGAACTGCTCCATCCGATCTCTCCGCACACCCTCCTTCTTATGGCAACTCGAGAGCAAGCCAGGAATGCTTTACCAGTTGACAAGTACAGGTAGTCCTCGACTTACGACCAGAGTTGAGCCCCAAATTTCTGTTGCTGACATTTGTTAAGTGAGTTTTGCCCCCTTTCACAACCTCCCTTGCCACCGTGGTTAAGTGAATCACTGCAGTTGTCAAGTTGGTAACACATTTGATAAGTGGATCCTGGCCTCCCTATTGACTTTGCTTGTCAGAAGATCACAAAAGGGGATCCCATGACCCTGGGACACTGCAACCGTCATAAATAGGAGCCAGTTGCCAAGCATCTGGATTTTGACCCTGGGAATGCAGCAACGGTCATAAGTGTGAAAAACGGTCATAAGTCATTTTTATCAGTGCTGTTGTATAGCAGAAACAGAATAGCAGAGTTGGAAGGGACCTTGGAGGTCCTCTAGTCTAACCCCCTGCTCAAGCAGGAGGGCCCTATGCCATTTCAGACAAATAGTTGCCCAATCTCTTCTTAAAACTTGTAACTTCGAACAGACCCTGAATGAATAGTTGTAAGTCAAGGACTACCTGTCTAATCCCTGCTGATCTAGTACTTTCTTCACAGTGTGCATGGCAGTAAAGACATTGTACATGAATAGAAAAAGAAATGAATTTGATGTGTTTAGCGCCCTGCTGCCAAAACTACCTAAAACACGCCAAGTGTTTGTTCTCCAATGCTGTGTTGATTAAACTTCTGCATAATCTGAACTGATACATTCTGATTGTTTTGCAAAATAAATTGCTGCAATTCTATACCTAAGAAGAAAGGCTAATCGTATTCGTAATAGGCATTTCATGTAGGAATTAACAGACCGCCAGGGTTAATTTTGACAAGCAATGAAAGCACTGATCAGGGATCTCAACCTGAATACTATGTTCTTCAGCCATCTTGGCTCAGGAATTCTGGGAATTGAAGTCCACAGGTCGTCAAAGGACCATCCTTGCTCGCCTTGGGCTAAAGCACGGGTGACAAACTCGTGGCGTCACGGTGCCATCATGTGAATTATTGCGACATTTTTTTCCCTTCACGGAGCTGGGGTGGGCGTGGCCTGGGCGTGAGGCATCCAGCCCGTGGGCTGCCATTTTGACACCCCTGGTAAAGGAACATTTGGGGTCACCTCAGGTAAGTACTAGCCAATTTTCCCAACAACGTACAAGACATTAGAACAGGGGTGTCAGATTCAAGGCCTGGGGACCAGATCTGGCCTATGGGATGCTTAGATCTGGCCCACGGGGCCACCCTGGAAATAGCAAACGACCGCAGCCCTCCCAAGCTCCGTTTTTGCTGGAAGAGGGTTGCAGGAAGCCGTTGCAGCCAAAAATGGAGCTCAGGAGCCCATTTTCACTGGCAGAGCATTCGGGCCACCACAGGCACCACTCCCCGGACACGAGTGATCTCATGCTGGTGTAGAAAGTTAGCACCCACCAAGGGATGGGATTCAAAAATTTTAACAACCGGTTCTGAGGGCGTGGCTTAGGTGGTGGGCATGGCTTGGTGGTCATGTGACTGGGTGGACATGGCTTGGTGATCATGTTATTGGCTGGGTGTGGCCAACTCCATATCACTCACATCGAGGCACGCATCTCCTCACCTGGCCTCTCATGACTGTGAGGATGCTGCAACAGTTGTAAGTGTGAAAAATGGTCATAAGTCACTTTTTTCAGTACCATTGTAACTTTAAATGGTCACTCCACACAAGCAAAGTACCAGCAAAGGAGGGGGAAACAAAACTCCAGAGAAGTTCCTGAGGCAGGAAGTCTAGTCCTGCCAAGAATGTAATAAGGGTTAATGGAGAGGCAGTTTCTGTAAGCAACACCAGAATGTTTCCTTCCTGCCTTCCTTACAGGGTTAGGCCAGTAATTTCTTCTAATAACGAGTTCTCCGAACTGCTTAGAATGTTAACAATCGGTTCTAGCTATATTTCTGTTTCATCCTGATTCATTCGGTTGTTTCAACTTAACACTGCCTTTTCCACAAATATCTCTTGACATTTCATTTACTAAATTAACTTTTCCTTGGTAGGATTTATCAAGGCTTGTCCTTATTGTAGATATGTTAACAATCTGGATATTATTTCCTTGTCTGCACCTCAATGTTTTTGCACTCCTACAAAACCTTGCTCTCATTATCTTTCTTCGTTGTCTGTGATTTCAAGTCTGCATTCTTTATTGTAATCAAATGTGTCCTGTTTTTTTCCTCTATGTAATAAAATGTCCTATTTTAGTGCAAACGTTAACATTTCCTCTCTGGTCTTATTTTAAGGAATGCTTTTCAGCTCCTTCATTCAAATCATCTAGTTTGGCAATTATATTCCCAAGGGAAGTGTCATCCCAAAGTTTGATTAATTCTACTATACAGTTTCCTGGTAACAAAAGTAATAACCGTTCCCTGATTAATCGTCAGAAAGGGTCACACTGTTTTGGCTTTCAGGTCTTCAATTCAATTTTTACTCCCTGATCATCTCAGATTTGCAAAGTTTCTGAGCATTAAAATATTATGCTTGCCTTGTCACAGCTGGCCCCGATGCTCTTTCCTGAAACACAGTTTTGAATATTGCATCCAGTTTTGATCACCACTTTACGAAAAATATGTTGAGACTTTGGAAAAAGTGCAAATAAGAACAATTAAAATGATTAAAGGCCTGGAGACAAAGACATATGAAGAACAGTTGCAGGAATTGAGTGTGGCAAGTCTAGAGAAAGGAAGGACCAGGGAAGACATGATAGGAGTATCCCAATATTTGAGGGGTTCTCTTCCACAGAGAAGAAGGGGTCAACTTATTTTTCAAAGCACCAGAAGGCAAGACAAGAAACAATCGATGGAAACTCATCAAGGAAAGAAGCAACCTGGAATTAAGGAGAAACTTCCTAACAGTGAGGACATTTAACCAGTGGAATGTCTTGCCTTCAGAAGCTGCGGGTGCTTCATCACTGGAGGTTTTTAAGAAGAGATTGGACAACCACCTATAGGTTCTCCTGCTTCAGCAGAGGGTTGGTCTAGAAGACCTCCAGGGTCCCTTCCAGCTCTAATCTGATTGACTGAATTAAGTCGCATTTCAGTTTTATTTCAGATTTCAATCACCTACAAGTAAGTAGTCCTTCATTTACTACTATTTGTTTAGTGAGTGTTTGAAGTTACAATGGCACTGAAAAAAGTGACTTACAATCAGTCCTTGCTCTTATGCCTGTTACGGTATTTATAGTGCCTGTTGCATGTGGATTTTTAGATGTTGATTGAGGTGTGTTAATGGCTGGCTTTTAAGTCATTGGCTATCGTTCCATTCTTCCACCCTTCCGAGGTCCATAAAATGAGGACCCAGCTTGTTGGGGGCAATATGCTGATTCTGTAAACCGCTTAGAGAGGCCTGTAAAGCATTCATGATTTAAATGGGGGTTGTAGGAAGTTAGCACCCAACTCTCTCCTCGAAAAATGAAATATCCTAGGAAATATTTAAAAGGCAGAATATTTCCCCTAAAAAGAGTAGAAACTCAGAAGCAGAAACTCACCTCAGAAACAGAAACTCAGCCCCCACCCCTTGCTAATGGGTCATTACTCTGGCCTAGGCCAGTCTATTTTACATAACAAAGATCTCCTTCAGGTAGAGCCGTAAGAGGAATTGCCCAAAGCCCTTTCATTACATCATCATCCAGCAAAGGCTCAACCAAGCCTGGGACTCAGGACAGCCTACAGAGTTGCCCCTGCATGGCCCCATGGGAGTCTGACAACCAAACAGAACACAAGCTCACATTCAAATCCCAACAGAGGGCATAAAACCCAGACACACTCAGCATATCAGCCTTTTCTTCTTTTCCTTCATCTTGGAGCATGTGATCATCCTTTTCACTTTGGAATTCCAAGCCATGTGGTCCTGTCCAGTGGTCCCCAACCTTTTTTGTACCACGGACCAGTACAATCCACGGACCGATCCACAGACCGGTACCGGCATCAGCACGCACGACCAAGGCAAGGCAAGCCGAGCGACCAGCCAGCCAGCCATCTGCCGCTTCTCCCCGCCACCTTCAACTCCTCCTTTGTACCTTCTCACGGTCGATGGGCTTTTCGGGCTCTTTCTTAATCTCCTCCTGAGTAACGCGAGACTCCACCGCCATCGGGACGGCTCTTTGTTGGAAGCCGCCACCCCCTTCGATGAAACTAAGGCGCGAGGATTCCTTCAGCACCCAAATGCCGCTTTCCAACTGATGACCGACAAGCTCACCCGGAAGCACTTTCTCAAGCGCCGTCAAAACAAGACGGCGGCGCCCAAGTAAAATAGGCGGCCCGGTACAAAATAATCCACAGACCGGTACCAGTCTGGGGCCTGGTGGTTGGGGACCACTGGTCCTGTCTACCATTAAACCATCTTTCCAAGCAGTCACCATGTGTCTTTCTTCCCCACTTGGAACTGAACCCAGAAGAATAATTCTTCCAACAGGACAACTGCCAGAATCCAGACAGAGAAAAGTATATAAGTCTAAGTGCTATTGCTATTGTTTGTGCTGCCCAGCCCTCACCTTCTAAGTACTTAATAGGCTAGTGATAAATCAGCACTCCTGTTGACTGACGAGGGGCCTCTATCCCAGGCCTCAATTACTTCCCTGGCTGTTTTTGTGCCTGCTCGTCCAACAATCTTAGTAGCTGCCAAATTGAACTTGCCAGATAGTCAGATGTAGAGGAAATGTGGCTGACCTCTTCCCAAAGTCTTCAAAGGCTTTGGGGTCATGTAGTAAAGGAGTTCTGACTACCGATCAGTTATTGGTGGTGTCTTTTGCCCTGTGTGTCTCGTTGGGGGGAGGTGGCATAATTAACCAATCTTGGATGATCCCTAGAAAGCTAAGCAGAATCGAATATGGTTTGGAGACCACCAGGCAATCCTATTATTCCATCCTGGAAGCAGACAGTGCCAAACTGCTTCTGAATGGTTGCCAAGAAAACAGCATGACATGTCCAAATCGTTACAGAACTCCAGGAACATATTACTGTTGTCCGAGAATTCTTATTTTGGCACTCTGTTTAATTCATCCCTTAGGCAAGCCACCATAACCTCTGCTTGAGTTCGCCCTAAGGACATCTCCAGGCCAAAAACCATGG